ACTATACTATTTTCAATGAAATGTTGATGTTATAGAAAAAGAATAACAAATATATGATAAAAGTTTTCAATTCCTTTTTTAAAAGAAAAGATCTTATGATTTTATCTGAATGGTAAAATGGACTTTTAATAATAAATAACAATTACAGTTTCAAAAGAATTTAAGCATACCTGTACATATGTAGTAAATAGTACAATACAACAAAGGATATTGTGAACATGGAGTGTAGTGCATAACTACTGTATATGTATCTTTCCCCAAGCACTGCTCTTGTAAAGGTATGTAGGAAATAGAAGATTTGCAACCATTCCATGGTTTGGTCCATACAGTACATGAGCTTCAGTCCCGAAAAATATTCAACCGTGATCTATATAAAACATCCGTAATAACGATATACTGTCTGTTTGGACAATCTAAGACAACTTCGTCATCCATACATACATTTTCTACAAACAAAATGCAATTATGTGTAAGAATTGAAAATAGTGTTTGTATGCAAATAACCCGAGGGTTTCATCAGATCAGTTGTCTGGCATATTTATAACAGACTTGTCTTAAATGGTCCGTTTAGAAATTCTTCTATTATAAACTAGTTCCAACCCACACGGGCAGAGTTTACCTTAGAAGTATTTGGTTTTTTCATGTTCCTTTTGATCAATTAACTCTTCGCGTGTTTCGGTACTTATAAAATTGAGAATAGAAATGGGGAATGTGTCAAACAGACAACAACCCGACCAAAGAGCAAAAAACACAAGGCCACAAAATGGGTCTTTAACACAACGAGAAAATTCCGTACCTGGAGGAGGGAAGCAGCTTGTCCCTTAACAAAAAAATGCGGCGGGATTAAACATGTTTTGTGAGATCTCAACCCTCCCCCTTTACCTCTAGCCTATGTAGAATACAAACATAAGAAACTAAGCAACATGACAATGATCAACATTAATTAACAAAGGACTACCAGCAGTTTCTGACATGCCAGCTCCAGACCTCAATAAAACTGATTGAAAGATAATGTCTTCTTTATATGAAAATCAAGCACAATCCCTCCCGTTAAGGGTTTAGTATCATACCATCATAAATATACGAGAAGAACTTAACCCGTATCATGCCAACAACTGGTTTTATAGAATAAATATGTTTATTGCAGATGCAAAGACCCTATGAGTTATACATACTTTACTTTCAAAATTTTAGCTTTGAGCGTTCCTTTTTTACAATTGAACGATCCTTTCTTTTTACTGTTAAATCGTATCGATTTCATTGAATAAAAGAATTATTTTATTATTTTGTAAAAATAAATGGTTCTCAAAGAATAAGTGTCTAGTCAATAAAATATGTACCTTTTTTAAAATGTACAGACAATTTATGAATGATTAAACATAAACAATCAAAATTCTCAATAAACAAATTATAAAAGTTGTATTCAAAATAAGTATGAAAATAAAAATTTTCAGTAACCAAAATACAAAATTAGTATGAAAATCTAAACAGAATTGATATTCGACTTTTCTAAACGGCTACGTATTAGATTGATCTTTTTGTTTACGTGCTTCTAGAGGTTTAAGGTAGATCATAAGTATATACTTTTTGAGACAGAATTTTCTTATTCTTTGCCAAAAGGAAGATTTGACTATGCTTTTTTCAAAAATATAATAAAAAGTATGGGTCACCGTGCTATTTTCCAAGCTATGAGTCGTTGAAAATTGCCTAAATTTGGTTAGATTGTTCATGAAAAAACACATTTGTGTGCATAAAAAAAAATTCTATGAGATAGAATTTTGAAATGAATTGTAAGAAGATAGGTTTTATAATATGTTTTAAAAAAATAAAAAGAAAAAATGATGTCACCGAACTTGTTTTCTTGCTACAAGTAAAAATAAAAAAAATCCCTATCAGTCCAGTATATATTTTTTACTAAAAGAGTTATCTCCCCTTAAATGGCTTATTTGAAAAAAAATTATTCTCAAAACACAAAATTTGATATTTGTTTAAATATTTTAAATATCACAATAAATAACAAAGTTTTCTTTATATAAATAGACAATCTAACCATTAAATTGCAAATCTGTCTCCAAATTTGCAGATTTGGGCAAATAACTAGACCAATTTTGTACTGAGATTGTACAATCCAAGATGGCGGTATACCATGAATCTACCTTAAGAAAATAAAACAATTGCTTTGGGTTAGCCATTCATATATCTCAAGAATAAATACACCATAACTTTAAAAATACAGAATTCTAGATTTTTTGTTTATTTTGCTTCCCTATCGCTAAGACTCAGGAGAAACCTTGTAAAGGTTATAAGAGAAATATCCAACCTATTTATCATACAAAAACATTGTTTTACTTAAAGGGGAGACAAATATAAGGGGCTGTCAAGACCCATTAGTCCAGGAGAGATATAAAACAATGTGACCAAAAGAAAAATAAGACAATCAGACAAATAACAAAAGACTTCAGAGAAAAAACAAAAGTGTGTGCAAGGCAAAAGACGAGCCCTTCCAAAACTGAGTGTATTAGATAATAGAAAAGGCGGAATATAGTATATTATACATCCTATCATTGTGTTATTGTGCTATGGTAAATTTTTGTTTTCTTGTCTTTCGTTTTTGCTAATGTGCTTTGCTTATATGCCTTTTTGTTTTTCTTTGTTGACATATTTGTTTGTTTTTATAGTGATTAAGATAATAACACAATGTTGACTGCCGTACCCATATTATTGACATTTTTACCTATTTTGTCTGTTTGCTTTGTTCACACATCGTTGTCAATATAATGGAATTTTATGCGACTGTCATACAAAAGAGGGTCGAAAGATACTAGAGGGATGGTCAAACTCATAGATCGAAAATAAACTGACAACGCCATGGGTAAAAAATAAAAAGACAAACAGACAAATAATAGTACACAAGACACAACATAGAAAACTAAAGACTAATCAACACGAACCCCACCAAAAACTGGGGGTGATCTTAGGTGCTCCGGAAGGGTAAGCAGATCCTGCTCCACACGTGGCACCCGTCGTGTTGCTCATGTTATTATAAATCCGGTAAATAGTCTAATTCGGTAGGGCACATTCGTGGTGAAAAAGGAAGTGGATTGTAATTACGACATAAGGAATATATCCGATATCATCTGTGAAACGGTAATTCCATAACGTTCAACCAACTCGTGATGGCGTCCGTAAAATTTACGAAGGGATGATTTCAACTTCACCATTCGGAACTCTTGGTTTAATAGCTTCCTTGTGAGCAGCAACCCTCAATCAAGGAAATCATGATAGGAAATACATGACCGGGAATATCTTATAAATTGGGAGATATATACTCCGTATGCAGGCGCTGCTGGAATGTTGCTACATAGAAATAGAAAGTTTACAATTGGGAAGCTGAAATCATCTCTTTTGTCGTAAAGTTTTGTTTTTCAACCGACCCTCATTGTCAATTACTATATGTAAGTCAAGATATGAGGCAGACTTAACTGTATCTGTTGTATCCTTTATCTCTAGTTCGATGGGATAGATACGTTCAACATAGTCACCAAATTTTGAATCATTTAGTGAGAGAACATCATCCATATAGCGGAAAGTAAAGTTAAAGTATATTTCTTACTTCTTACAAGTGAGAAATTTAGCTAGTTATGAAACCAAGTTTAATCCACCATTTGCTACATAAGAAAATGCCTGCACTAAATCAGGAATATGACAGTTGTTATCCATTTGTTTGATCTGTTTAATCTTTTGATTTTGCCATTTGATTAGGGACTTTCCGTTTTTGAGTTCGGTATTGTTGTTATTTTACTTTTTCTAACCCATATATACACTTGATATTCAAAGTGCCATTTAATCTTCAGATTATAATTATACTCAATTATTTATCAACTTTACCAGGGGATCATAAAACGTTTTAAACCCATTTTTATTATTGTTTTTAAACGTTGTTTACATTTAGATTTTACAGCAAAACAAATGGTCTGCACATAATTTGATTCAAGATGTATTTACCTATGATTCCTTCTCAAAAACAATCAAAAAACACAAAACAACATTCAAAAATCAATCAATCAATAAATAATCTTTTCTTTAAAAATATAACAAGTTATTGCTTACTTTTTAAGAGACGTTGACTTGTAACTTCTTGTGTGCCCAGCATAATGACAAACAACAAATACAATATTGATGCCATCATTTTGAATTCATTGCTTTTATATAAATATGTTTTCCCATTCATTTGAACAAACATCAATTATCTAACATTCATATCCATGTTCTAACTGATACATGTGATAAGTATACACGTAACTTTTAAAGTATTACCGTGTTGTATAATATGGCTAATTTGCAAGTGAAAAAAGTGAATCATTTGAGAATACTAAAAAATTCATATCAGAATACATATTTGTATTTTCTATTTAATGTACGTTAAAAGAATGAATCGCGTAATTCATGAACATTGCTGAGATCTAGTTAATTGTTTTTTTTTCCCCAAATTAACCATATCAAAATGAAAAAAGGCGGAAAATAGAAGAACGGACATTTTGGACTGCACAACACTATACATAATTTATTTTCGAAATTAGCTGCATGACTCTATCAACAACGTGTGATTCTCCATTAGGGCTAGATTTACATGCAACAATGTGTGACGCTTGTTCTTTTTCTCATGTACTTAACTAGATATACATGTATCCTGCTTAAAACCATATCAAAATAACGAATTGATCAATGCATTTTGTCTTTATTTATCTAACTTTAATTCGTTAACAATTTTTTTTCAAACCATCAGTGCATGTCAATTTCTACAATTTAACAATCGACTTATGTGAAAGTTTAAAATGGAAACTGTAAATTTGTTTTCAAAAGGATAGACTAGATCTTAACCGACAAAAGAAAAATATAGACTTTGAAAAATAAGACCACACAAAAATACAAAACAATATGCCACTAATAACCGAACAAAAAAACCAACATATATCTTTTAAAAACAAAATTTCCACCGGAGGCGTATGAGATTTCTGATAAACGAATACCCGTATACGTCTTGTAAACGTTTATTCGTATAATTGTCAAATAACATTCGTTTAAACCACTATGTTTTAAATGCACAACACAATACAATTTATGAAGTTTAGTCAGTTAGTCAACGAAATGTTTGCTTCTTTATACATCAATACAGTCACTTTTTCACATTTGATACTTTTGGTGCCCTATAGTTCACTTGTTCGTATGTGTTTCCGACGGTTTCTTCATATGAAGTCAAATCATAATCGCTCTCGTTAGATGTATCTAGTCTGTATCCCATTGGGTTGCTGTATCCTGGATTTGAAACTGAAATCTGGTATATACTTGGGTTTTGAAACATGTGATCTTGATCATACGACAGACGGTTTCTATGAGACATCAGGTTTGGTCTTTGTTCAAGTTTGTTCAGTCTAAACAGTATTGCAAAAAAGAATAAAAATGTATTTGATAGCTTCTTTCATGTAAGTATTATGTTTTATTATGCAAAATATACATATTAAAGACATCTCTTTAACTCTTATTGTCCTTCCTTATGATTATTGTATAAAATAAACATTTTCAAACACATCAAATGCATTCATGTTAACACATTATAGCCATATATACTCAACAACCAAAGAAACGCATCATCTTTATTAATTTTTTTGGAGTAAACATTTCTACTGCATATAACTTTTTTAAAGTGATTAGATATTAGTTCCAATTTTGACACGTTTCTGAAGTCATCAACAACAAATTCTTTGAAAATGTGAATTTTCTTTAATTCAATTTTTGACAATCAGAAAACAAAACAAAATGTCTTTTTTGTTTTTGAAGACTTAAGTTGGGGGTATCATTTTACCTGAAAACAACAAAAATGACTTTAATTTTCAGTTTTTGTATCGAATTCATTTCTATATTCAATTTGAAATTGACTTATTTCTGATTTATGATGACTTTTGTAGTTGACAATTCTGTTGTCACCACTAAAATGAACATTTCTTTGTAAACTCTAAATTGAATTCAAGGTTATGCATAGAATATACCAGAGTTCAACAAATGTGTAGCAAAAACAAAAAAATGTGAAAAGTATACATGGTAAGCTGTGGTGCGTTATTTGTGTTGTTTATATGTATATGGTTTACTAATTATTTCGCGGAAAATCGTTTGGATTATATCAAGCCATTCCACAGACTTAACACTATAAGCAGGATAGAAAATTTCTTTTTTTTTAAATGAACAAGTACATTGTAAATGTTATTACTTGCAAACCAAAAAATTATGAAAGTAGTATCACAATGGTGATCCTAACGTTTTGGGTTTATGTATTTCATCAGACAGTCTGTAATGTAGGAAGAAACAACAATAAGATGATAAGTTTTAACCGAATAATTAATGTGTTGACTATAAGTGATTGTTTCATCTGATTAAAACATTTATCAGATACAGCAACGTCTACATTTGGGCCTTTTTAATTTTTTTTATTCGAGCGTCACTGATGAGTCTCTTATAGACATAAAGCGCGTCTGGCGGACAAATTCCAAAACCGGCATATAGGATCGGTTATTTTTGCGTATCTTGACTTATATTGACAATCAAGTGTTACTGTTTTTGTTCATTGTGTGTCTCCGTTTGCGACTTACCACTAAAGTGCTAGTCCTTTGCAACACGGTGTATCACATGTTGAGCAGAAACTAACTGCTTTTCTATTCAGCAAACATTTTGTTTGTGGGGTGTACTTTTTTTTTCGTTTTTTGTTTTTGTTTTTGTTTGTTGTTTTTTAGGTGAGGGTGGGAGCCGAAGGGGGTGTTTGATGTATGTTGTTCATTCTTTAATTTCTGTTAACTGTCCTTTCGTTCGGGGTTATTGTTTTCTTTACGTTTTGTTGTGAGCAATTGAAATTTCTGTCTTCTTTTAATCTAGTATATGTTTGTTTTCAAGAATGACAACATTTCATAAGTAAAAAAAAAGTGAGCTAACAAACTAACCTATACTTTAGAATGCAAATCAGAGCAGTAATCTCTATGATCGATGCGATGCCTATAGCTGTTCTTAGTCCAATTTTTACTGAAAAACATAACAAACCTTGAAAGTAATTGACAAATTTGTCATTATATTGTGGTGGTATCCGAGTGCATTGTAATTCAAAAGACTATAGTTAACTTACCAGAAGTAATGTTAGAATTAAGCATGTGTTAATCCAAAAGTATTAGTTTTGTCACTATTTTAAATGTTTACAAAATTCAACGTGCATATTATTTTTTCTCAACAAGTGGAACTCATTTCCGTGCTAAAGCACATGTGTCTTGAAAAATCTCGAAACCAAAATTGAGGATAGCCAAAACACTAGACATTTGAAAGCAGATACACAGAAGGACCGATAAAGCCTGTCTCAGGTAATCGTTTTCCGAGAGACAAGTAACTTTATTTTTGTAATGCTACACAATTCATGAAATAGAAATGAAGAAGCAAGAATGTATAATATTTCCTTCGTACTACTACAACAACAAACTTTTGTTGCCTGTTTTCATTTTTTTTTTTTTTTCACATTTCAGAATAATTGGAATTTTACACACACACACAACATATACATATCAAGTGAATGACAATGCAGATCGTTGTCTTAGATAATTCTGATTTATTTCGGACTAAATTGGTAGGCTTCAAAAAGATCAATTATTTTATATCATTTAAGAAAATAATTTTCATTTTTAAACATATCAGAAAAATGTGTACATACATGGATTGTTGCTTTAATTGTCGTTGTGGATTTGATGCTTATTGTCGTCGTTGTCATCATCGTCGTTTTTATGGTCCTTATAAGTTGTTGATAAATCAGCTTGATAAAGAAGAGAAATATATATTACCTAAATTACAAAAGCTAACAGGTTTTTAATTATCATGGTTTTATTTAGCTAGGTTATTGCGTTATTTCAAAACAACCATTGAAAAAACAAAAGTTATTTGAAGATACATTAGGCTGGTCCTCTCCCTTTCAACCTATACCTTTGTTGTCAATATCTGTCAGAGCCAAACAGATAAAGGACAGAAAACCAGTCTAAAGATACATGTACAATGTTCAACAAGATACTAGTGCCTTTACAACATGCTCTTTATCGCCCAGAGTATAAAAATGTAAATAAAACAGATTTTGCACAAAATGCCTCCTTGCAGTCTAATATCGGTTGTTATACTTTCGCTTAAATATCAAGCAGCATAAGAAATATGCAGAACAAAAGCATCTTATGTATAGTCATTTGGTCAGAATTTCATAACAGAATCACATGGAAGAAATCTTTTATTTGTGTTTATTTTATAATTAGGAAATTGTCATATGTCTTGCTATTTATGAGCAGAAAACAATAACAATCGTTCTCAATGCTGTTGTCTCATAAAAAAATGAGGACGGTCTTGTCGCTACGACAAATGGGACATATATGTGGTCATCTCTTATACAGATATTAAATAATGGCCAATTTAATCATGTATAGATGACCAGAATCAAAATGAATAAATCCATTTTGACATGATGTACAATAATATGTATATACATATACAAAACAAGCGTTGAGTAAATCTTTATAATACTGTTCAAGAACAAATAATCAAACGTTCTAATGTTTTGTCGACCTGTATAACCACAAAATTAAGATATAAATAAAAAATGCTTCAATGCATTATAATTTGCTTGTCTTCCAACCTTTCGCTATATATAAGATCTTTTACAAAATAGCCATGACCACTAACATATGCTTCCATACGTTTGTTACAATAATGTGTACACGAATATTGTACCTATGTTATGAGTATTATTACGTTTCAAATTGAGTTCTTACAACAAGTTTAAATGATTTATACACACGAATAGATGTAGTTGAAGAGGTAGTTGAAGATGTAGTTGGAGATGTAGTTGTCGGTACACGAGTGCCGCCGTGGAATTTGATAGGTTGATAGGGATCAGCTGTTCGAATTCCATATGGAGATTCTTTAAATGAAAATAAAGTTTATATGTTAAAGTAAACTAAGGATTCAAATGTTTTATGTTAGCTTAAAAAAGAAATATGCTACCTTCTACGACATTTGGTCTTTGGTGGATAGTTGTTCAATTGGAAATCATACCACATCTCCATATTTCATAATGAAAGTACCATATATGTAACTTTTTGTTTACATAAAAACTAAAATTTCAAGTTTCAATGATATTTTCAATAACATGTGGATATTATAGAAAAAATATGACAAATATATGCTCAAATGTTTTCAATTCATCTTACAAAAGAAAGATCCCATGGTTTTATCTAAATAGTAAAACTTAATTTTGATAATTTCTACCAGTTACAGTTTATAATAAGAACTCATTAAGTTATACGTACTTGTACATTGATAGTAAATAGTAGCATACAACAAAGGATCCTATGAGCATGGATTGTAGTCCACAACTACTTTACATGTACTTTTCCCCATGCACTGGTCTTGTAAAGGTATAAAGGAAATAGAAGATTTGCAATCATTCCATGGTTGCGTCCATACTGTTCATGAGCTTCTGTCTCGAAAAATTTTCAATCGTGATCTGAATAAAACACCCGTAATGGCGATAAACAGTCTGTTAGGACAATTCAAGACAACTTCGTAATACATACATACATTTTCTGCAAAAAAAGGAAATTATGTGTTAGAATTAAAAATAATTTTTGCATTCAAATGACCAGAGGGTTTCATCGGCTGAGTTGTCTGACATGGTTTATAACATACCTGTCTTTATTGGTCCGTTTATAAATTTTTGGATTATAAATAAACTAGATCCAACACACACGTGCATAGTTTACCATAGATAAATTTAACTATTTTTTCATGACCCTTTTGGTCAATTAACTCGTATTTTGATACTTATACATCCTTGGCTTTCACAAATATTTAGCTTTGAGCGTTCCTGATGAAGGTTTTTCCAGAAAAGCGCCTCATTGGCCTCACAAATATTTAGTTTTGAGCGTTCTTGATGACGTTGTTCTAGAAAATTGCTTTGAACGTATAAACTTTAATGTGTTATTTTCTTTTTCTTTTTAATTTGGCGATTTTTTTCTTTTTGATGTTTAATCTCATCGTTTTCAATGAATAAGAAGAAAAATTCATTATTTTGTAAAAATAAAAGGTTCTCAAACAACAAGTTTCTGATATAATAATAAAATATGTAACCTTCTTATATTATACAGACAATGTATGAATGAATGAACGTAAACAATTTAATTTTCCAATAAACAAAGTGTAAAAGTTGTATTTAAAATAAGTTTGATATTACAATAAAATTGATATTCAATTTTTCTATGGGTTGTATTTCTTTAAATGTAGACTTATTTTACGGCTAAAAATGTACCACTTCTACTATGAAGTTTCGAAAAAAATTATATCCTAGAATGGAAAGCTCATATGCACTACTATTACTTTCAAAAGTCAAAATATAGGGCTGTGCGCCATATTTTCAACATTTATATTACCCGAACTTCTAAGAGTTTAAACTAATACTAAAATTCCGTACTACCCCTACCTTCACTTTGAGAAGTCCTCAGAATTCAATTTTTTCTGCTACCATGTGTTTTATACTGATAACATTCCCAAGTTATTTCTCTATGAGATGAAACATAGAGATCATATCTGGGAACCAGTACGAAAACAAAACAAAATATCTATGAATGTTATATATTCCCCAAAAGAGGCGTGGCTTGTGAAACAGCTGTATTTACAAAGTGCAACCTTAAGCCGATTTGTAAATACATTTATTGAGAAAAGACATAACGATTTGTAAATAAATGTATTGAAAAAAGAAATAATTATGTCAATGAAATTGAGACGGGGATGGATAAGAACACAAATATGTAAGTAATTTCCATCAATAGAAATACCTCGGTTTTTACTCTGAATTGATTTAATGACGTTTGATGTATCATTTAGTGCTGAGGTTAAAATTCTTATACAGGACTCTGTTCATGTGATATGATCCTAGGACTACATTTGAACTATATCAATATACTGAGAGTAATTTGAATGACCTTTTGTTGTTGTTTTATAATTGAAAACATGAAATATAATTTTTGTTAGGACCTAGTAGTTATCATTATCACTAACGTTTTAAATTTCTGTTGATATAGTAATTGAGGGAAAACTGGTGTTTTACTGAACGATCCCCATGCATTGGAGTATTTTTAATATCTTTTACATGGAATTGAGCTTCAGATACGAGATTTTCCAATCGATAGAATAAGGTAAAAAAATCAAAAATGAAACCCCTACCTTCACTTTGGGTCTACCTCAGAGTTCAAGGCGGCCGCTATCAATATTTATTTATACTGGTAACATTCCCAAGTTATGTATCTATGAGAAGATACATAGAGATCATATCAGGGAACCAGTACATAAACAAAACAAACTATCTATGAATATTATATATCTCCCAAAAAGAGGCGTGGCTTGTGAAACAGCTGTATTAACAAAGTGCAACCTATAGTATCCGCATGTTACTGAAAATGTTACTTTTCAGATTGATCATTTCATTTTGGTTTTTCTAGAAAAGGAAAACAAATCAATCAGACAAATAACAGTTGACTAAAAGCTCCTCAGAAAACAAAAGTGCGTGCAAGATTAAAGAATTTCCCTTCCCAAAAGTGTGTGTATTAGATAACGAAAAAGGAGGAATGTAATATATCAAATCATGACACCTAATCCATATATACATTTGACATTATCAAGGGCAAAGGTCATCTTCAGATTATTATAATGCTCAAGTATTTACTGATTAAACAAGGGTCCATAACACGTTTAAAAACCATTTTTTTAATTAAGTGTTTAGCTATATCATTCACGCAAATAAATGGTCTGCCGATATTTTGATTCAAAATGTATTTATCTTGGATTTCTTCTCGAAAACAATCGGACAACATGAATATTTATAAAAGTAATCAATCAATTAACAATCTCTTTTAAAAAAGGTGACAAGTTATTGCTTACTTTTTAAGAGATGTGGACTTTTAACTCCTTTAGCATGTTGCGTGGACAGCATCATGACATACAACAAACATAATGTTAAGGCCACCATTTTGAAACCATTACTATTATCTAAATATGTGTTCCATTTATTTGAACATTCATATCTTTTTTCTAACTGGTAAGCGTAAACTTAACCTATATTAAAATTTTAAAATAAAAAATAAAAAAACTGTGGTGAAAAAAAAGGTAAATATAAAAATTTAAATGGACTGACCTCACGGCTGATTTGGTCATATTTTGAAGATAAATATAACAGTAAAGGTTTTTGATTTAAGTCTGTGGTAAAGTGCAAACGTGATGCAGAATTTAAAAATAGTGATCAAAGGTCAGAATCGGAACTTTACGAAATCACAATTGCTTAACATTTAGGACATTTTTCGGGATTCCTTCATAATAACTAACAAACATGACAAACACAAATTGATAGAATCATGCTCTGGAAATGTTGTTAATTTTCATTTATTATTTTTTTTTCATTAGCAGTTGCTATTTACAGTCCGTTTCTATATATGTTAGAGTTTTCCTTTTGTTGTAGTTCAGTGTTTCTGTTGTTCTGTCGTTTTCCTTTTATAGTTTTTGTCTTTCCCTCGGAATAAAAAAAACACATGCAAAATCAATAGAATAACTTATCATTTGTTTTCTCTCAATCGATTTTTTTACTTTTGAACACCGGTATAGTACTGTTGCCTGTTAAAAACTGTTCAATAATTGCCCGAATAACTAGTTCGTTCACAAATGCACGAACAGTATGATATAACTATTAATATTGTTTGTTTGCGTTGTATATGTTTTTTTTTTTTTTTTTTTTTTTTGTTTTTTTTTTTTTTAATTTGATTATTCATTTCATTTTATTGACCATGGACTTTTTAATGAAGTATAGTGGAATATGCAATGAACTATATATGTGTACACGTATTCCCAATTCGTTAAGAGGATTGTTTTTCGCATTTATTTCAGATTGTTTTATTCTACTTAGAAATCAAATTATTTTGCCAAACCAATGTTTTAACAATTGTTATAATGGTTTACTTTTATAAATTTTGACTTGGATGGAGAGTTGTCTCATTGGCACTCATACCACATCTTCTTATATCTATTATAACCCATGTAGGGTTTTTGGGTTTGGTTGTCTTTTTGTAATATTTGTTTCATGGTGTTGTCAGTTACTCTTCAACTTACGAGTTTTTTCTTTTTTTTATATGCATACATACAGTGTAGGTGGATGTGTAGGTATACGTATATAAGATAGAAGCACAAGACACACAAAAACGTATGATTATTTCAATTTTACCGTTAAAGATTTTTGGTTGCTTTGTGTATAACCCCGTCTTTATTACAATCTGCAAGTGGATTCATACTTCAACGATATTCCCAACATGTGTGATAAAATAACATATCTGTACCTATATAGTGAAGTAGTTTTAGTAACTAAATGTACATTACAAATTCACTGAAATTTAGGAAAAAGGTTTACAGCGGGCAAAATTTTCGTAAGATAACTACATGCATAATATTTTAAACAACTTATGTAGGGTTGCTATTTCAATGTAGAAAGCCAGTTCAAGTGAGTATCTACTTAACGATGAGTTTTGTTTAATATATAGGCTCTACTCTTGGTTGGTATGTATTTATACAATCCAAGCGTTGAGTTGTTCTATATAGTATTGCACAATTACATAAAAACAATTTAATGTTTAAATACTGTGTCAACTTATACAACCACAAGTGAACAATTTTTCTTAATTGGAGCAGCTATTAGATACATCGACATTTCTTTGTTTCTTGCAGTCATATGATCTTCAATTTCAGAGCATAGTCGAGATCACTAACCCATGCTTAAAATAAATAAACCATACGTTCCCTGTTGGCATATTTTCTAAAAGGCTCTAATGGATTGTTTCAGATATCATGACATTGACGGTTCTTATGTTGCAAGCTTTAATGGTATACACACGAGTCTAAGAAGATGCTGTAGATGTATTAGTCGGTACATTATTACCTATTACCATATACTTTGATAAGTGGATAGTGATCAAGTGGTTCATATCCAGATACTTAAAGCAAAATGAAAGTATATATGGTATTACGCTAAGGTTAAAAATGAATGGCTGTGTAGGCTAAACAAAAACAAAAACATTTTGACATACTTTATATTAAAGAATGCTTTAAACGCACTCTCAGATTAAAACAATTAGGGTGTAACGTGTATATTTAAGATATTTAAAGATACCAGAGGGACATTCAAACTCGTGTGGCTCAGTCTTTACTTTTTTATCTTGTGTTTTGTGTACTTTTGTTTGTCTATTGGTCATTGTCTTTTTTAGACATGGCGTTGTCTGTTTTTTTCGACTTTAGAGTTTGAATGTCTCTTTGGTATCTTTCGCCTCTCTTTTCCAAAATTAAGGTACAGGAACTAATTTGATAACCTTTCAAACATTTATCATTTATAAGTGAAGCTCGATAATATGTGAAAGTTGTAAGTATCTAACAAAAAAAAAGAATTAATCATAATTCTAATAAAACGACTAACGTTAGCCACAAAGATAGCCGTATATTTTATCAGAATTTAAATGTATTAAAGATTTGAATGCTTTTTATAACATTTTAT